TTATGGCTAAACTATTATGTTGTCTCACTTGACTGTTTTTGTTTCTGCATTTTCTCATTTTTGATTGAATTTGTTCTCTGGAACTCAGGGAAGGCCTAGGAGGCTAAAGCTCCTTTACAAACAGGAGGCAAGGGACATGGTGGGGGTGGGTGGGGGTGCTTCTGTCCCCAGAAAGGCCTTCACAGGACCTTGCTCGGTTATATAACTGGCCAGCCTGGGCCACATACCCATGTGTATGTGGTGTGACCAGAGTGAATAACATGCCCATGAGAAGATGGAGAGCAAATGGGTGGATCCTCAGAGAAGGGATGGCTGCCATTTTATTACCAACACACATAACTACTACAACATAATTTTACCACTAATGCCTCTGCATACCCCCTGCTTCCTTATTTCAGGGTTCTGTGCTTTATCTTCCATCAAAAGCATGGACCTCGTGTGGCTTTCACCTCATCCTACTGAGATGACAAATCAATAGGCAAATTACAGGTGCATAGAAGTATTAATCCTTTTGAATCTCAGAGAAGGAAAGCTTTGTAGGCACACACACAGCCTTCCACTGGATTATCTGGCTTACTGAAAAACACCAGGAGAAACATTTGGTAATGACCTGGCTGTGAGACCGCCACACCCACTTTATCCCCATTCTCCCTCCCTCCTGCACCTGTCGAGACAGAAAACAATTGGGGTGGTGTTTTGTTTCACCCAACAGAACAACGGGTGATGGCTGCTGCAGAACTTGGAGTCATTTTCCCTTGAGAGAACCATTGCTGACTGGATAGAATCAACCAGCTGAGTCTCTTCAGGCAGGTGCTTAACTTTTATGCGAGGGCTCTAGAGTTCAATAATTCATGCTCGTGCAGCCAGCAGCAAGCAGATGGCATTCAAACTCTATTCAGATTGTGATTATAAAACATCACCCCAAATGAGTTTTATGATGGAAAAACATACTAGGTGACTTCAGCGGGATGAAAGAGAAATCAGGGCTTTGACGTCAAATGAACGGAAGTCAGTCTCGGGGCCGCTGTGCATTGGCTGTGTGACTTTGGCTGAAGGTTGAACGTCTCAGAACCTGTTTCTTCGTGGATAAAATTAAGATAAACCTACTTCACAGGGCTTTGAGCTCCTATAAATGAGATAGTACTGTACATGGAAAGTGCAGTAGTGCAATAATGTAAGACAAATTTCTATGGCTTGCCAGAAACACAATAAATGCTAATTTCCTTCCCCTCTTCAGATTCTTTCTCTCTCCTTCCCCACCCCAACCCTCTTTACAGCATGGAAGCCAATGTTTTCTATAAGTATGAATGTAGAACTGAGAGTAAAAGGGGAGAATGAAGAAAAGAGGTGATGAAAAGAGTCTTCATGTTAAAAATAGAATTTACAGTTTGCTTCCACAATAGTTTATCTCAACTGAGGGGAGATAGAGAAAAGATGAAGATGGTCAGGCAATTAGTACTATCTCAGGGTTTCAAAGTTTATGCACCTTCAAAGAGATTTAAGCATTTTGTGCAGTTTTAGTCTAATATACTTGCTCAATAGTCATTAAAATACATAAGCCACCTTGTATGGGAGTGTCTTCCAGAAAAGAAAGGGAAAAAGCAGCTCAGCCATTTATAAAACTACATCAAATCTCCATTTTAGTTAGAATAAGACATAACTCAGACCAGCGGCATCAAACTTGGATGGATGGGAGAGCTGGATAAAAATGCAGCTACTTAAACTGCCCTCTAAGAGATTCTGGTCAAATTGGTTCAGGGCTAGGGTCCAAGAGTCGGCATTTTTTACATTTCCCGAGATTCTGATCTAGGTAAACCACAGACTTCATTTTGAGAAACACTGGTTGAGTAGTTAAGAGCTTGGGCTTGAGAATAGACATACTTGAGCTCAAATTCCAAAATCTACCACTTTCTAGCTTCATGAACTTTGGCAAATTTTTAACCTCTCTGATCCCCAGTTTTCTAATCACAGGTTGTTGTGAGAATTAAATAAAATATACTGTGGAGTGCTTAGCACAGTATCTGGTACATAGGAGGAAGCACTCAATAAATATTAGCTATTGATATTATCATTATTATGCAAAGTCAAAGGAGCTTCAATTCCTTTTTTCCTAATTTTTTCATTCTTCCTTCCTTTTCTTTCTTTTCCTTTTATAAATCCAAAATAACAGCGTATTAGCCAAGATGGAAGTTTATTTAGATTTCAGACACAAGTCTGGAAGTAAAGTAGTCCAGGACTTGCCTGGCAGCTCTGCAACCCAGACTACTTTCTCCCCTTTTTAGGTGCGACCCTTATCCTCATTGTTCAAGATGGCAGCTAGAGCGCCAGCTCTGCATCCCACATAGCAAAATGGAGGAAAGAAAAAGAAAGTCAGTCTCTCTCAGTAGGGACACTTCCTAAAATTTGCTTATATCCCATTGGCCAGATGTAGCTGCCAGTGAGCCTGGTAAGTGTGACCAGTGTGTGCCAGGTGCTCATATACCCATAAAAATGTGATTTATATCACAGTGTAAAATTGGGAGAAGGCTTAGGGACAATAATTATTCCCTGATATGTCTAACCCTGGGAGTCTAACAGATTCAGATCATTCCCCAGAAATCCTCTGTTCTCCATCTGCTTCTACCTGCTTACTTCTCAGGTAAGGGAGAAGCTTCTCCAAAAGGTAGTTACATGGTTTGTTGATCCCACTCAGCTAGGCTTATTTTCTTCTTAAATTCCTCCCATACCTTTCACTTCTTATCCCCCAGCTTCATTCATTTTCTTTACTATCCAATTGTAATAGACAGTACAATTTTTTCATTGTAGAAAAGTTAGAAAACACTGCAAAGCACTTAGGGAAACTTTTTTTTTTTAATATTCAAAAATCTCATCATTTAGAAATAACTACTCTTAAAATGTTAGTATATAGCCATCTAGCATTTTCCCCAGGTAAAAAATATATATGTATATTTACAAAGAGAGCCTAGTCTACATAACTGTTTTTAATCTCTTCTATTATACTTAACAGTATATTATGAGTAACTCTCAGTGTTATTAATTATAGATCAACATCATCAGTTTTAATGACTGTAGGGTTTTCCATTGTATGGATGTATCATAATTTATTCAACTGGTTCCATTTATCTACAACAGTGTGTTAAACCTCCTAGCACATACATCTTTGCTCATTTGTCCACCAGTTTCCCAAGGATGAGCTATGTTCCTGTGATTTTCTAACTCCCCAGGGACCAGCAGAAAACCATTGCTCTGCTGCTGTCCCATCAGCAATATGATGCCGTTCAGGTCTTGTCTCGACCCTGAAGCTGCTTGAAATTCCTTTTCAAATGAACACTGCAGATTCTGAAGGTCCTTGAAGGTCCCAGCAAGACTGTCCCCAGCAGAGGGGAATACTCCACCCAATGGCCGAGGAAAGCACAAAATACAATACAATCACAGGTGACACTGATGGGCTTTCTATAAAACCTAAGTTACTAGAACTTTCCATTTGTCAAACTGACCTCAAACAAGACCAAAGTGACGCCATTTCTCCTAGGAGAAACCAGTTTCAATCAGGAAAAGAAATGCATTTGACTGAAATAATTATTTAGACTGACAATTGATTTGACAAATGACAATTCTTTAGCTGATTTTTTTTTAGGTGATTATTGATTTCTGACTATTAACTCATCTCGGTTGTGCTTCCTAAAGATCCAAACACACATGAGGTTTACACTTTCTAGACAGGCTGAAGACAAATTACAATGCATCACTCTCACATAGCACTTTCTATGTTCAGGGGGTTTTCACCTCAATTTTCTTGCCGTCAACACTGAGCCCTACATTACAGGTGTTAATTCTAAAAGGTGTCATTTATTGAGCACATATTATGTACCAAGCAATACACAGAATGCATTATCAATATTTTTTAGTCCTCACAGCAACTCTAATGAGGTAGACATTCTATTATTACCCCATTTTATAAATGAATGTGGTTTAAGAAAGATGAAATAGCTTGACCACAGTCACACAAGAGCAAAGAGGTGGAGCCGTAATTCAAAATCAGTACTCAGATCCCAGAAAGAGTCACAGCCTCACTCAAGTTCACATAGTTGTGGAGTCAAGTCCAAAATCCTGTTCCCTGCATAGTGATTAAGAACAGGGTCTGGGCTTCCCTGGTGGCGCAGTGGTTGAGAGTCCACCTGCCGAGGCAGGGGACATGGGTTCGTGCCCCAGTCCGGGAAGATCCCACATGCCATGGAGTGGCTGGGCCCCGTGAGCCATGGCCACTGAGCCTGCGCATCCGGAGCCTGTGCTCCGCAATGAGAGAGGCCACAACAGTGAGAGGCCTGCATACCGCAAAAAAAAAAAGAACAGGGTCTCTGGGCTTCCCTGGTGGCGCAGTGGTTAAGAATCCACCTGCCTATTCAGGGGACACGGGTTCAAGCCCTGGTCCGGGAAGATCCCACATGCCACGGAGCAACTAAGCCCGTGCGCCACAACTACTGAGCCTGCGGTCTAGAGCCCGCAAGCCACAACTACTGAGCCCGTGCGCCACAGCTACTGAAGCCCGCGCCAAGAGCCCATGCTCCACAACAAGAGAAGCCACTGCAATGAGAAGCTGGCTCACCACAAGGAAGAGTAGCCCCGTTCACCGCAACTGGAGAAAGCCCGCATGCAGCAATGAAAACCCAACGCAGCCAAAAATAAATAAATAAATAATAAATATATAAATGTATATTTAAAAAAAAAGAACAGGTCTCTAAAATCAGATTGTCAGAGTTCAAACCCCATATCTGCCATTTCCCAGCTGTGTCACCTTAGGCAACTTCCTAAACCACTCTGTGCCTCAGTCACCTCATCTTAGAAAGGGGAATAATAGTGTTTATCTCAAAGGTTAAACAAGATGACCCACGTACGGCACTTAGTACATAGGAAGTGCCCTGTATTTAGTTATTAATATGATCCCTTGTGTCCCTCCAGCCTCTAAGCCATACATATTTTATTGATCCGTGACACTGCAGGTGCCGCGAGCAAAGGCCTTGTGCAACTACCGAGGGCAGAATCCTGGTGACCTGAGGTTTAATAAGGGAGATGTCATCCTCCTCCGGAGACAGTTGGATGAGAACTGGTACCAGGGGGAAATCAATGGAGTCAGTGGGATCTTCCCAGCCAGCTCCGTAGAGGTCCTCAAGCAGCTTCCCCAGCCACCCCCACTCTGCCGGGCCCTCTACAACTTCGACCTGCGTGACAAGGACAAGAGTAAGAACCAGGACTGCCTGACCTTCCTCAAGGTAAGATTCTGGGCAGCTACCAAAGTCACGAGTGACCACATAAAGACTGGCAGAACCTCGAGTTTTTGTTTAATATTTGCTGATTGTTTTTAATTATATTTTATCCATAAATGTATAAATGTGTGCCTATATATGTAATGTGTATGTATAATTCAAACATATGGTAGTAAAGTCGCCAGAGAAATCTAATAGGAGTTCGATGGGAATCCTCAAACCTTTTCTATTGCAACTGCAAAACAAAGTATCTGCACACTCATTCATTCATTCTACAATCACTTTTGAGCACCTGTTCTTTGCAGACACTGGGGAGACAGCATGAACAAGTCACAACACCTACCCTCAGGCAGAGTAGTGAGATAAACAGACACTTGGACAGAAGATTACAGACACAGTTTAACAGCGTGCTGTGTAGAACTACAGATCTTACCTTTTCATTGTGTATCTGCAGGGGTATTCTCGCTGACCAAGTTCTGATCATCTAGTACTACTCGTTTACAACACTCTATTTTGTTTGTAAACATTGCATTCAAAACACTCCAAACAACACAATAACATAATTATATCTTTACACATAAATCACCTCTTACAAGATATATTTTCCAAACACATTAGTTACCCTAAGGTTTTTTTCCTCTCTTTTTTTTTGGATGATTCTTCAGCATTTGCAAGTAAGGACAAGTCTACTAAATTCTAGACTATAACCATCCCTCGGTATCTGAGGGGGATTAGTTCTAGGACACATTGATTCCTGAAGATACAGAAGCCGCGGACGAGGAGGGTCGACTGTACTTTAAGTCATCGTATTCAGTACTTATTATTCCGTAAACATTTGAATTCTCTCTTAGAAACCAAAGTTGGGGTGATTTTCATTCTTTGCTACTTATGATAAGTAGATCAAATACAAGTACAAGTGGCACTGCTACAGTAGCTCAGGAAAGGTCTTTTGTTTTGTAAAACATTTTTATTCCATCACTACTGGAAATGAGATTTACTTAAGATTCACTCAAACTAGATAACCCCACTGTCCTCCATATTTTGAAATACTGATCTTTGTTATTGTCTTAGCACCTCAGAGTGAGTCCCCTAAGGAATGTCATTCTGTAGCTGACCTGTAAACTTTATACTTTGACTACAGCTGGAGAAGGGCAGTTCAATTCCACAAGCGTTTATTGAGTATTTACTTTGTGCCAGGCATTAGACACTAAGCTCTAGGGACACAGCTGGAGGAAGACATAGGCAGGAAGCAGTACCTGCTTTTTTGCCCTTTTCTGGGAATTTGCAAACTGGGACACTTACCCACCTGCTTGTTCATTCATTGAAACCAGCCATGTACCAAGCTGTCCACTGGAGATAAAGTGATGAGTCACTGTCCCTGTCTTCACGGAGCCAGCAGTCTAGTGGAAGGAACAGACACATAAATGGGAAATGAGGACAGAGGACCCAGAAGAGAGGATTTGATCCCTTCTGGAAGCCTGTTGAAGGCCAAGACTATACCAGGATATCACATGGTCTTCCTAAACTCAGCATGTCCAAAAAAACTCAAGATCTTCTCTCCAGAAGCTTTTATTCCTAGTATTTTCTATCTCGGTAAATTTTCCAGTTTATTCACACATGCATTTATTCATTCATGCATGCATGCATTCAAGAAATATTGTTTAAAAACTGTGAATCACTATGTTGTATACCTGAAACTTATATAATATTGTACATCAACTATACCTCAATAAGAAAAATATTAAAAAGGAATGATTGGTTGACTGCTATAGGGGAGCCGCTACATAAGATCCTAGGGACAAAAATGAACAAAACAGATAAGGCCCTGCACACATGAAGTTTATGGTCTGATGGGGTGGACCGGCATTAAAGAAATCATAACCTATAAATATGTAATCACAGGTTGTAATAAGGACAGAGAAATCTAAGAAAGGGTATAATGCAGTAATGGATTTAGATTTGGATTCGTCTATATTACTAAGGGGCATAGATCTGAAGATCAGAGAGATCAGTGGATGAATATTCAGATTTAGATTGATAACAGGCATGGACATGGAAAGGTATTCCTGATGTGATATTAAGTGAAAATTCAATGTATCCTATATGACATCATTTGTAAGAAACACAAAATAAGCCAAATGAATGTATTTGCTAGGAGTCAGAGTAGTGGCTACCTCTTGCTATGTGACAGGAAAGAGTACTAAAGAGCCATCTTGGTGCTGGAAGTATTTTATATCTCTTACTCTGAGTTGGGGTTTTGTGGATATATTCAATTTTAAAAATTCATCAAGCTTTACATCTAAAATGTTTGTACTTTATTGCATGCCTATGTATATTTTCTGAAAAGTTTTTAAAAATCAGTGTGTCTCTATGCACATATATTTTATCCTCATAGAAAAGAATCTGGGAAAAAATGTGGCAACCAAGATGTTAACAGTGGTTGTATCTATATTGTGATAGAATTCTTTCTTTGTTTTGCTTATCTGTGTTTCCAAGTGTTTCTACAAATCTCCCTATAACCTTTGGTAATAAGAAACATTCAAATAAAAAGCCACTTCATGTTTGATACATTAAAAATTAAATAGGGGGACTTCCCTGGTGGCGCAGTGGTTAAGAGTCCGCCTGCCATTGCAGGGGACACAGGTCGAGTCCTGGTCCGGGAAGATGCCACATGTCGTGGAACATCTAAGCCCGTGCACCACAACTACTGAGCCTGCGCTCTAGAGCCCACGAGCCACAACTACTGAAGCCCATGCACCTAGAACCCATGCTCTGCAACAAAAGAAGCCACCGCAATGAGGAGCCCTGAGAAGCCTGCGCACTGCAACAAAGAGTAGCCCCCGCTCGCAGCAACTAGAGCAAGCCCACATGCAGCAACAAAGACCCCACGCAGCCAAATAAATTTATTTTAAAAAATTTTTTGGAACACTGAAAAGTGTTCAAAATCAGAATGCAATTCATTCTTCCTTTTGCTAAGCCAAAATTCTATCTCCCTACCTCTTCCATCTTGGTTTCTCCATCAGATTAATTTAAATGAAAAGCCCAGATTCTGCTGGTGATGGAAAATTAGAGACATTTCCAAGTTTTCCTATTGGATTTCTTCAATGCTCCAAATTATTTCTACTCCTCTTTTGGTCTTGGTGACCCAAATACTGCCCTTTATGGAGAAAGATTATTTTAGTGGAAGATTTTGTAAATAAATTGTGAAAGAGTTACATTCCTTGCCCCTTACACCATCTGAGACTCCAAGCCGATCTCCACTGAAGGCTTTCAGCACCTGAAAACTCACAGTAAATGCTAACCAGGAGACTTTCTCTCTTTCAGGATGATATCATCACTGTGATCAACCGAGTGGATGAGAACTGGGCAGAAGGCAAGTTAGGAGATAAAGTCGGCATCTTCCCAATCTTGTTCGTAGAGGTACGTGACTATCAAGTCTACATCTGATTCAAGCTTACTCAGAATTATACATGTGCTACAGTGAGTAATTCCTATTTGATATGAGGCTTATTTCAGAACTAACTAAAGTCTTGAAAGAAAAGATGCTAGATGATAATACCCATTTCTGGCAAGAGTGTGGGAAAATGGGCCTTTTCATTCTGCTGCTAGGAGTACAAATTGGTGCCGTCTCTCGTTTCCAGACTCAAACTCCTATCAAGGATGTTGAAAATGTACATCTCCTTTGAGTCACTAATTCCACACCTGAGAGTTCATTATAAGGAAGTATTAAGACAAGTGTGCAAAGATATGTGTACAAAATGTGCAAAAATGTTCATTGTAGCATTGTGCTTAGTGGTGAAAACCCAGAAATAATCTAAAACTCAACAATAAGAATTTAGTTTTTTTAAATTATGGTGATGGAAAAATATATACCCATTAAAAATAATGTTAAAGGAGAATACTCAATATCATGGAGTATCTGGTATTATGGAAATATGTTTGTGATTTATTGGTAAGTAAAATAAAGTTTAATGAGTATAAAGTTTCAGATTTAGAAGATGAAGTTCTGGAGCTCTATTACAATGTGGATAAAATTAACACTACTGAACTGTATACTTAAAGATGGTTATTATAGTAAATTTTGTTATGTGTTTTTTACCACAATTAAAAAAAATTAACTGCTTGAAACTAGCTTTGTAAATACATATGTGTATATATAAATGGATAAAGGGCTAGAAGACTATGTACCAAGATATTAACAGTGGTGATCACCAGATGGTGAGAGTCTAGATAATTTTCATGTTCTTCTGCTGACTTGTATTTTGTAAATCTTCAGAAATGAGCACATATTACTTCTATTGTTTTTTTAAATCTACTTTGAAAAAAAAAGAAAGAACACACGCTAGGCTATCTACCTATTTCTCCAGGATAGTAATATAACCTATAGCCCCTAACCTCTCTAGCCATCATTCTCACCCCAGCTTGAAGCAGGTCATTACAAATTTAAAAGAGAGGTTTCACTGTTTAACTGCACTTATTGGGTGCTTACCAGGCATAAAGCATTAAAAGCTAGCGGTGCTGAGCTATAAAAGAAGTAGAAAGTATGCTCCCTGCCCTCTAGGAGGGTGGGATGAAACAGAACAGAGGTAGAGTTGGAAAGAAGGGACCAGTTCTACCATTCGTAAGAGCCGAAGTGGGTTCTGAAGTGAATGGTGTGCCCAGAACACTGCCCAGCTGTCAAGGTTCCCTCACCCTCTCATCTCAATCTGTATGGAAGGAATGAAAGATGGAAGGGAGGGGAAGAGGAATGGTCCAGAGAGGCTGGTCTTCCTACTCTCTTCACTAAATGATCGTGCTTTTTCTCTTGTTGAGGCCCCTTCCAGGTACAGCCACCCAATTCTCTCTACGTGTTCAACTTCACTCATTTTATGAGGCTCAGCTAGAAATCTTCTTTTTCCATAAAATTCCAGCAACTAGTTGAATACTCAGTTGTCTCTTTCTTCTCAGAACAATATGGGTGTGTGGCTTGTACTGATGGGTGTGTGGCTTGTACTTCACAGGCTAGCCCAACACAGAGCAGGTACTTCATAAAAAAAAATTAGCTTCACAAGTGAATGAATGAAAAAAATATTTGGGAGGTGGTCCGACTGGCCAGGAAAAAAATTCAGAGAACATACCTTTCAACGTGACCCTGTCCTAAATATATATTCAATCATTCAACTTATTTTTCATTGAGTGCCTGCCATGTCAGGTCCTGTGCTAAGTTCCAGTGATACAAGACAGATATGAGTCCCTACTTTCAAGGATTGTAGGGGCAGACATGAATAAATAATTATAAGTGTGATGAATGATGCAAAGAGTGAAGGAGAGGGAACTATTGGGGGGAGGAGAGTATGATGTTCAACTTACCTGGGTAGGGTGTTGGCAAATGCCTTGTAAGCCAAGATCTGACAAATGATGAGGAGCAAGCATGGAGGGAAGAGTGTTTTAGGGAATGGAGGTAACATGTGCAAAAGTCCTGCAGGATGAGGAAGTGTGGTGCCTCCAAAGGACCAAAGAATACTAGAGCTGGAGCTTAGAGAGTAAGAGAGAGACAAAAAAAAAATGAAGCCAGGGAAGTAAATGGGACACACACCACAGGAGACTTTGTAAACCTTCCTGCATTAGTCAGGATGAGTTAGGTTATGCTATGGTAATAAACAGCCCCTGTATCTCAGTGGCTTCACAAAGAAAAAGTTATTTCGAATCCATATTACATGTTCAGCACAGAATGGTGAGAGGCTGTGCTCACACAGTCACTGAGGAACCCAGACTGATGAGGCCGGGCCATCTTGTAGCCGTGCCATCTGGAACATATGGACTTCCTAGGTTTCATGGCGGGGAAGAGTAAAGAAGAGTGAGCTGTGTATCAGCAAAGGCCTCAGCTCTGTGACATTTGTCACTCCCACTCATAGTCCATTGGCCTGAACCAGTCACATAGTCCCACCTGGCTTGAAATCAGCTGAGAAGTATAGGGGACTACTTGGAGTATTTGATGAGCATCCTCACCTCTGCCGTATCATAAGAAGTTTGGACTTGACCCAGAAGTCAGAAGACACCACTGATAAATTTAAAGTAAGGCAGTGACTCCATCAGATTTGGGGTTCTTAAAGATTGCTCTGGATGCAGTGGGAAGAATAATTTGAGGAGGAGGGATTTAAAAAAAGCAGAAAGATCAATTAGGAGGCTACTACATGGCTCCGTTAGAAAATGATTGTAGCTTTGACTAGTAGATTGGAAACAACTGGACAGATTCCAGGACCTCTTAGGAGGTAGATCCACAGGAGCGGGGGATAGGGGTGAGGAAGTGGTCAAGGATCACGCCCCATTTTTGGATTTGTGTGGGTCAGTGGTAGAGCCATTTGCTGGATCAAGCAACATATGCTGAAGAGGAACAGTTACGATGTTTGGGAGATAACCGTTAAGTCTCCAAGGACAGAGATGAGCTACAACTAATCCTAGTTGGATACCTAGGAGGTGCTTAAATTTTTACAGATTAGAGCTTGCATGGTCCCCTGTATTATTTCAAGAAGCTTCTTCATAGGTCTGGGGAAAAAAGGCATCACTGACTTCATTACCCATTTCTGATATCCTTTTTTTCCAAAACTTCTACATTTAATGATTATTCATTTGGATACTCTCCCCACTACTCCACCTCTAAAATTAGTGATTACAAGAACCCTCACAGTCATCATCAAACTAGGGTCCTGTTCTCCTAATTGCTAGAAGGGGAAAAGATAATCAAGTGGTTGCTGTAATCTGGGAACCTGGTTTTCAAAAATTACTTGAAATCTAAATTGAGCTTTTTAAAGCAGTACTTAAAATTTGATTCCAGTCATTTCATTAAGACCAGCACTTGCCGAGAACCCTTTAAATAAGTTTTGAACTACCAGCGCCATGCAAAGCAATTGGAAGGAAGGAGAGCTTTCTTCTGAGAGTGAGGTGGGCTTTTTGGCATAAACAGGATTTTTCTTGTTAATGTATCGTTTGACTTATTGAATTGCATCTGGGTAAAAGGTGGTAAAACAAACACGGAGCTTATGCCCGTTCTTGTCAGGACTTCTCCAGCGGGGCCTGCCTGGGTTATACGAACCTCGCTCAGCCCAGTGGACCTCAAGGATATTGTTTCTAATGAGTGGGTGCAAATTGAAGAGCTCTGCAGTCCTTCCCCCGCTGAGCTATTAATCACCCTGGCAGAGTACAGGGAAGACCCAGAGTCACACGGGGCTCTTTGTCTGTGTTGCTGATGGAAACACCCATGGTATTGCTCACCTGGGGGCAGAACAATTAGGTGAAGGCAGAAAAAAATTAACTTATTTCATCGTGGCTATGAATGACCAGAAAGAGCTTTACTCAGTCAACTCAGAGAGCGTGTATTATCGTCTTACTGGGTGAACAGTGGTGGGATGGGTGCTCTGGGGGAACATGAGACATGGTCCAGGCTTCCATCAGAAGCGCCCTAAATAATTTCAGTAATTTCCCAGTTGATCTCCCTCCTTCCGGTCTGGCATTTCTGCATAGCAGCCAGAGTGAGCTTTTTATGTATTTATTTTTATTTACATACAGTAAAATTTGCTCTTTTTGGTGTCTCTGCATTCTGATAAATGCATACAGTATGACCACACTACCATCAAGATATAAAATAGTTCCAACACTTGCCAAAAAATACGAGGGCAGGCTGCCTCTTGGAAGTCCGCTCCTTCCCTGACTGCAACCCCTGGCACCCACTGATCTGTCTTCTGTTCCTGCAGTTTTCCTTTTCCAGAATGTCACAGAAATGGAATCACATAGAATGTAGCCTTTGGAGTCTGGCTTCCTTCACTTAGCATAATGCCTTTGAGGTTCATCCATGTTGTCGGGTGTATCGGCAGCTCGTGCCTTTTCTTTGTTGAGTCATACTCCACGATGCGGACGTGCCAGAGTCTGTCATCCATTCGCCGACTGAAAGACACTGTGATTGTTTCCAATTGTCTGGCAGCTATCACTAAAGCAGCTATAAACACGTGCATACCAAGTTTTGAGCGAGCCTGAGTTTTCATTTCTCTTGGGTAATTACCTAGGAGTGGGATGGCTGGGTCAGACGCTAAGGGGGAAACTGTCAAACCGTAGCTTGAGCTTCTAAATAAAAGCATACATCAGATCATGTCACCCTTCCACCTAAATCCTGCCAAAGGCTTCCTATTACAGTCAATAGACTCAGAGCCTCCCAGTCGTATGCGATCCGGATCCTGCCTGCCTCCATGGTCTCCTCTTTACCACCTGTTCCTCACTTCTTTCTGGTTCTTCCACATCGTTTTCTCAAACAGCCTGAGCTTTCTCCCTCTTCGGGATCTTTCCACTAGCTTGCAATCCCTCTCCTGGAAAGTTCTCATGCTTGTCTTCACATGGCTGGTTCTTTCTTGGCATCTGTGTCTCAGCTTGAATGTCACCTTCTCAGCAGGTCTTCCTTGACAGCCCCCCACCAATCTAAAGTAGCCGCCTCCCGCAGTCACCCTCTGACACATGAGAGCATTTATTACCGCCTGGTCTTTTCTTGTTTGGTTGTTTACATGCTGGCTCTGCCATGTATGTCACCCCTTCAGCTCTCTTGTCTTTAAAGTGGGCATAATAATGCCCCTTCCCCTACTTGATGGTTTCTTTTCACAATATTACAAGCTTCTGGTGGCAGGAACTACATCTTTTCTAAAATTTTCTATCTCAACTATATTAATCATCTTAATCATCCTCACATTGTTATTAAAAAGTTCTTAAATGAAGAAAAAGTTCTTAAAGGAGCAAACTCCCTTTTACCTCTATAGGTGAATCTCTAAACTAGAATGAGACACGTGCTTTTAGAGGGCAACTGGTAACAATCATCATGATGGAAGTTTAAGTAACTGTCCCGGAAAGTTTATTCACACAATCCCCTTTGTCAGCATATTTCCGATTTCTGAACGACATGAACTCACAGGGCCCTTGGTGGGCAGGGTACTCAAAATACAATACAGTCAGTGGTGGTGCTAGAGCTGGCTGGAGCTAGATGGCAAGGGCTGGGTGTTAGGTTTTCAGGAATCTTGCTAGCCAGTTGTTAAACCATTGGTAGATCTTTACACCACAGAGATTGGTAAACTCTACAGATTGGGGTGAGGGGGGTCATTTGTTTGTTTGTTTTGTTTGTTTTTCTGATGTACCAGCACACCACTGACGGTAAGAGGTATAGAACAAGAGAGAATGGTGATGAGGTAAAAGTATTTAAAGGAAGTAGTAAAAGGTGGTCTTAGCCTTAGGTGATCCAGGGTCCTGAATGGATTTACATTCTGGTTAAACACTTATCAAGCGTATGAACTTGAGCAACTTCATCCACTCATTATTGAACAAACACTCACTGAGCACCCACTCGGGGATACAGCAGAGAACACGTGTATAAGGTCTCAGCCCTCAGGCAGCTAACAGTCCAGCGGAGGAAAGGAAGATAAATGATTACCGTGTGGAGTGGGAAAGCATGGGGGCTGCAGGAACACTGAGAAGGGCAAACAGCCAAGTCAAGGGTGGAGGTGGGGATTCAGGGGTGGCTAGAGGAAGAGGGAAGGGTCCCCCAGGTAAAGGAGGCTGGGATGATGCTGAGAGAGACGGGAAAATCAGAGTAGAGTATCATGGCTTGTTTTAAATTCTTCAGACCTCAGTAAGAGTCGTAGCTACGTTGCAGGAGAGTTGTGAGAATTGACGGATATAGTAAAGGAATTGGGATATACTGATAACAGGTGGAAGCTGACCAAGGAATGACAACTGAGGCGGTGGCATCTGAGCCGACTTCAGACTAGCCTGGGTAAGACACAGCCGCTCACACGAGATCAGGATGCCTAAATTCTCATCAGACCTTTTGCCTTTTCAGCCAAACCTCACTGCAAGACACCTCCTACAGAAGAACAAAGGCCGTCAGTCATCCCACACAAAAGGCATGTCCCTGGTGTCATCCTCCAGAGGCAAGGCGACCAACGCACCCACACTCCGAAGGGGCCCGGGGTCCAGGAGGAAGGGGCCCGGGCAGTTCTCCATCATGACGGCCTTGAACACCCTCAACAGGATGGTGCACTCTCCCTCGGGGCACCATATGGTGGAGATCAGCACCCCAGTGCTCATCAGCTCCAGCAACCCCTCTGTGATCACTCAGCACGTGGAGAAAGCGGATGCTCCTCCCAGCTCTGTGGGGCAGGTAGGGAACCAACCCCTGGGATAAGGGCACCTTGGAGTTGGGCAAGTGACCCACACCGTGTCACAAGCAATATTGGATCTTTAGTACCTGCTAAGCCCCCATAATGCATTAATAACAACTAATGTCATTATGTGTCAGAACTGTCTATACATGATCTCATTTCATCCTTGAAACAGCCTGTGAGCTAGGTATTATTATTATTGCTATTGTTACCCCCATTTTACAGATGAGAAAACTGAGGTTTAGAGGAGGGGGGTTTGCTTTCCCTTGCTAAGAGCCATGGCATGGTTCCTGTCCCTTAGAGAACTTCCCTCCAAGGAGATAATGACATCTGTTTCCTGGGATCACAGTTTAACCTTCACTGTTCCATCCTCCAGTAATGTATCAGGCATCACGTGACAGGGAAGAAAAAGAAACTATGGGTTATTGGGTGTTTTCAGGACTAGCTATATACTTTGCAAGGCCCAGTGAAAAATGAAAATGCAGGTCAAAAATGATTAAGAATTTCAAGATGGCAACAGCAGAGCATCAGACCAAGTGAAGGGCCCTTCTGAGCACAGAGCCCTGTGTGACTACACATGTCACATACCCTTGAAGCCAGCCCTGGTGGTTTTCATATGGAGCATTTAATGAGATTATGTATGTAAAGTGCTTAGCACAATGCCTGGCACATAATGAGTACCCAATAAGCATTAGCTCTTAATACTATTGTTATTAATACAACTGCTGTTATTATTAAGCCTGGCCACTGAGTTGCCAAGTGAAGGGAGATAAGCCAAGGGGCCATCCTGGCAATCCAGAAGCAGAACTACTTCTAACAGCATGAGGCTATTTAGGTTGAAGGATGCTTTAAAAGATGAAGGACCAGAGGTACAAGGCAAAGTAATTAAGAATTGCATGTCAGGTATTCTGCTATAAACACTCTTTGGAACCATGCAGGTGACAACTCGAAAAGACAAACCTCAACTTGCACTGATGTAACTTTTATTAAGCTGTAAATCTTGTTTTTAAACATGAATCTCTACCTTGGGATTAAATGACTTAATTGGACTCTAATCCCTTTTTAACAAGACAAGGAGGAGGAGAAAGTCAAGGGTTCCTCAAAGACCTGTGTGCTGGTCTAAAAGGAAAACAATCACCTGCTACAGCACTTCAGACCTTATACCACTGTCTGCATCTCTAGGAGGCCGGCTGTTGACGTCATTCTGCCCGCCACTTGCACTACATACATACTCACACACAATTACACTCTCCCCTCCCTATACACTCTCCTTGCATTAAAAAACTGTGAAATTCCCTTCCCTTCCTACCCACACACACTCCAAACACTTTTTTACAAGTACATACACACTTTGTGCCCCAAGTTCTACACCCCGTACACACATATACACACACATACATGCTCCAACATGGGAGCCTAGTGACTCACAGTTAAGCGAAAGACTAGCAGAATTTTTCTGAAACCATTTTTTCTAAATATATAGACATAGGTATACGAAGTACAGCCCACACTCAGTAGATCTAGGCTAGCTCACTCAGCTATAAGTTGGCTTCCCAAAGGATTTAACCAAGAGTCACTTTCCCGGTGCCTTTTTCATTCTTCTCCCTGGTCATTTACCTCATCAACAGAGAGGCTGGACCGAAGCAGAGAATCCTAGTAGGATTCAAAACAAGTAGTATTCCTTCCTAATGTTCACAAATGGTGAGAATTCCAAAGTGTGGCATTGGCATACCCTATCCCCAGGGAACCACTGCACAGTACTGATAGCCTTTTCTCAATTCACATGGTGGTGGATTATAAATATTTCTACATGTTTCCCCAGATGTTGTCAAAAACACACTCTTAAAATGCCCCATTTATGAGCTACATCTAAAGATGAGTGGAAAGTTGAGCAAATGACAAGATCTCCTGCTTCCTTTTTCTCTAACATCCTTGAGAGCTGTGGTTGGGTCTAGCTTATCAAACTTCCCCTCCTTCCCCATCCCGGCACCTTTCATAGTACATAGTCCCTAGTAGGTAGTAAATCAAGGAATCAAGACATTTGGCTTAAACATCTGGGCAGATGGTGGTGACGTATACATAGACAGGGAAGACTGGAGGAGGAATTGTTTCCTATAGAAAGATCACAGGTAAGTGTAATTCTTTCAACCAGTAGACATCTGTTGAGTTGCTTACAATGTACTAATTACCAGACTGAGTCCTGGGGATTCTACTACCAAAACATCAAGAACGGCAATAATAATCTCAAACATTTATTGAAAGTAAAAGAATTGATAGGTAGAAAAGGAAGGAAGGAAGGGAGGGAGGGAGAGAGGAAGGGAGGGAGGAAGGAATTCTTTCTTTGTTGCCAGTGTCCTGGGTCCTGCGCTCCATCCTAAAATATGGTAAGAGCCTTTGTAGGTGAGGTACTCTCACCACTTTACAGTGATGTAATTAAGACCCCCAAAGAAAAATGGTTGGGCCACCGTTCCTAGAATTAGTGAACAGTGAGAGTCTGTTCTGACCGTAGAATTGTGTGATTCTGGCCCATAAGCTCTTGTCACTATGCTTCGCCATTAACAGAGATGTCATCAGGCAACACCGTTACATCAATGTAGTTTATCTTGAATGTCTGTAGCCTCCCTTTTCTTGCACATCTTCACTTGACTCCAAGGCCTTCCAGCATTCTCTTCCCTGCCCACCCCTCAGTAAAGAATTTGCCCTAAGTCTTCTGCACCTCAAGAAGGTTTTCATTTACTATCACTTTGTTCCTTTATGAACTACCGTGTCCAAGCATTGTGCACGGTACTGAAGGCACCAGGAGTAAGTCTTGCCCCCAAGGAACTCACAGTCTAGCAGGGATACAGAAAATAAATGACAGACTATGGTGGAGTTAGGGCTTCCTAAAATGAGATGAGCACCCTGATGGCTCCCACACTGACTTAGGCGGGGAAGATACTTGGAATTTTACAACACAGAACTGTCGACAGAGAAAGTTACTTCCTTTCCAACTTTCCCCAAGCCTCTTGGTGATATCAGAAAGTCTTAGTTTGGTGCTAGTCTGTCTTTAACATCCTCTATCAGGTTTTGCTAATCTCCCTCTGTCAGGAAGCGAGAACCAGGCATCAGGCTCAGAGCTTCGGGCAAGCAACTGCCCATCTCTGAATTTCATAACACTGTATGTTTTCATCATGTTGTCGGATGGTTATCCTCCATATCTTACAAGTGATACCAGTTCTTGTTCACAGAAGTCTATGAAAAATTTTTAATACTTTATTAACATGTTTAAGCTTTTTTTTAAAGAACAGTTAGTTAATAAAGGTACAAGTGATATGTGGATATGGCAAAAACCATGGAGATGGGACACAATGCAGTTTAGAAAGCACCAATCCAGAGTAAATACATGCATAATTAGAACATGTAGGAAGTGCTACGGAAGCAGAGAAGAGGGCGTTTGTTAGCTTCAGTCCTGTTCCCTGAGAGAGGGATATTTGAATATTTGAACATTGGTCCTTCTGTGACTGACGTGTAAAAAGTCCAGGAAAATTTTTTAGGGAAAAGCCTCTTTAAAGAATGTTCAGTCCCCACCAACTAAACGGAGGGGGCTTGGAGGATCAAGGAGTAGGTTTTCTGAAAACACCTCTAAAGAAACAATGAAGAGGAGGATTACCCTTCACCTCTTAAACACCAAAGGGTAGCAGTTCCTACCTTCTCACAGAGAGAAGCTGAAGCAAGGAATTCTGTTTTCCTGTTGTCATTGTGTCCTCCCACCCTTGGGAAACCACCTGACACATCTGGCTGGAATGTCAGGAAGTGACCTTAAAGGTAAACTTTGGACTAAATACAATTGTGCTTGAAAATAATTCAGGATTAGACCTGAAGACTCTGAGTAGGTTCCGTGGGAAACTGCACTGGAGGAGGTTAAGAAGGGGGATTGGAACCAATGTAGTTGGCCTTTGGGGGAGTCCTGGAGATTAACTCTAGGTCTGCACTGAGGACGGCGATGCCTTCGAAGGAGAAGGAAAGTCAACTGCATGGGACACGAGTTAGAAAGAAGTCCGTCAGTAATACCTCTTAAGGGAAGCCACAGTGCCAGGTCCACCCTGGAGATTCCAAAACTGACTTCTTCAGGATGTGGAGTCGGTTTGTCCCATCTCCCCACTCACAGCACCATGAGGTGCTCTTGTTTGCTGTAACTCTAGCCTTCCTAAGACATTCTGCTCCCCCAGTCTACGCACCCTCCCTGCCCAGGGAACTCAGCCTCTTCCTCCCTTCCCCCTCCCGCCACTGCCAATCCCTCCAGCCCCCTCCTTCAGCCTGCCCCTTCCCCTGTATCACAGGCCCAAGTGAGTGCAACTGCAATGCAGCTATATAGAAAGCCCGTCGTCATTCCAGAGTTCTCTCTTTCCCTCACCTTCTACATCCAGTTCATCAGCAAGTTCAGTTTGCCACCTAAATCGCAATTGTTTCTATTCATCCCATCCCACTGCCTTAGTTTTGGTCCCCATCACTGCTTCAGTCTCTTCCTGGTCTCCCAGAACCTTGCTCAATCTCAACCCCTCACCCTGCCAACCCCCTCACCCCTACCCATTCTCCCAATCATAGCCTCCATACTCTGGAAAATCCAAATCCGTTTGTCGGCTTCTCCTCCCCAGACCACCAATGGTTCCCTACAGTCTTCAGAAGCGGCAATACCTGCCATTAACTAAGTGCCCACTAAAAGTCAGCAACTCTCAATATGAGATGATTTACAGACATTATGACTATTCTCACAGCTCTTCAGAGTAGGTGTTCATATGCCCATTTTACCAAACAGAAAAGGTTTGGGACAGAAAAATTAGATAACTTGCCCAAAGTCTGAAAGCTAGAAACAGACCCAGGATTTGGGGCCAGACCTGTGCCTTCTCTCCTAAATGAGTGAAGGCATTCTAAACCCTCCCTGATCTGACGGTAGCCTTCCAGCCTCCCCCCATGTCCCCCGCCACAGGCATACACGAAAGTTGCAGTGACCTACTCAACA